GGCTAAAGATTTTCTTGCTGAAATTAAGAAACATTTTGTAAAAAACAATAAGGTAGAAACAAGTACGCTTTTAGCTCGCTTGATTTTGGTGAAGTATAAGGGCAAAAGAAATATCAGGGAGTACATTATGAAAATGTCTCATATTACTTTAAAACTTAAGGCACTCAAACTCGATCTCTGTGATGAGTTACCGGTACATCTAGTTTTGTTGTCTCTTCCTGCATAATTTAATTTAATCAGTTTAAGGTCAGTTATAACTACCAAAAGGAGAAATGGACTCTTAATGAGCTCATTTCATAGTGTGTAAGAAGAAGACATGCTGAAACAAGATAAATCTGAGAATGCTCATTTGGCCTATGTCTCTAAGGATAAGGGCAAGAAAAGAAAGAATAAAAATAAAGCTGCTAAGAGTCCTGTTCAGAAGAAACAACATAAGGATGATCAAAGTTATTTCTTTTGCAACAAGTCTAGACACGTAAAGAAGGATTGTACTAAATATCACGTCTGGCATGCTAAGAAGGGTATGTTCCTTACTCTGGTCTGTTCTGAGGTTAATTTAATTTTAGTACCTAAAAATACTTGGTGGTTAGACTCTGGTGTTACTACTCACATAAGTGTTTCTATGTAGGACTGCCTGAGCTACTGAAAACCAAGTGATGGTGAAAGATACATCTTTGTGAGCGATGGTCAATCGGTAAACGTGGAAGCAATTAGGCACTTTAGGTTGTTGTTAGGAACTGATTCATATTTGGATTTAAAAGATACTTTTGTAGTACCGTCTTTTAGACGAAATTTGATTTTAGTTTCTGTATTGGACAAATCAGGTTATTCTTGTTCATTTGGAAATTATCAATTCAGTTTATCTTTTAATTCAATTATTGTAGGAACTGGTTACTTGAGTACTTATGACAACCTATATTTGCTTGATACAATTGCTTCTTATAATGAATCCTTACATGTGGAATCACGTGGTACTAAGCATAAATTAAATAAGGAAAATTCGGCGACATTATGACATAAACGCTTGGGTCATATCTTAAAAGGTAGAGTTGAGAGTCTTGTGTTTGATGGCATTTTGGATTCTCTTGATTTTTTGGATTTTGACATTTGTGTTGAATGTATCAAGGAAAAATGGACCAAAGTTAAGAGATTAGGTGCTAACAGATCTTCAGATGTCTTACAATTGATACATACAGATATTTGTGGGTCATTCCCTATGACAACTTGGAATGATCAATAATATTTATATCATTCATAGACGATTACTCATGTTATGGGTACCTATATCTCATTCATGAGAAATCTGAGTCTCTGAACATGTTCAAAGCTTTTAAAGTTGAGGTTGAGAATCAACTCAACAAAAGGATTAAAACCGTTAGATCTGATCGTGGTGGTGAGTACTACGACAGATATGATAGTTCAGGTGAATAACGTTCAGGGCCATTTCCTAGATGCCTAGAGGAATACAGTATCATCCCACAATACACTATACCGGGTTCACCTAACATGAATGGTGTAGCAGAAAGATAAAACAGGACTCTTAAGGATATGATAAGAAGTATGATTGCTCATTCTTCTTTATCAGAGTCACTCTGGGGAGAAGCATTTAAGACAGTAACTTGCATTCTGAATAGAGTACCAAGTAAAACAGTTGCTAAAATACCTTATGAGCTTTGGATTGGTCAAAAGCCCAGTTTAAAACACTAACATATTTAGGGATGTCCAGCCAAGGCAAGGACTTATAGGCCAAACAAAAAAAAATTGGACTCCAAAATAGTTAGCAACTACTTTATTGGGTATTTTGAATGTTTCTAGGGGCTATAAGTTCTATGATCCCACACTCAGGATTATTTTTGAGATGGAAACAACAACATTCTTTGAGTATGTTGAGTTTGGGGGGAGAAATAAGTTTAGAAACATTGTTTTTGAGGAGGAATTCGTTTCAGACCCAATCCATACAGTCACTTTTGACGATATTCAAGTTCCTATACCTGTTATTAATTAAGAAGTGAATTCAGAACCTCAAGAAGATAATGTTGAATAACTCCCTATTCCAGAAGAACAAACTCAACAACCTCAAGAACCAGTGCCATTAAGAAGATCCACGAGAGAAAGGAGAAATGCTATTCTGGATGATTATATTATATTTCTCCAAGAACATGAAGAAAATGATGGAATGTTGGAAGATGATCCGATCAACTTCCTTCAGGCCATGAAAGGTTCTAACTCTCAAAAGTGGATTGATGTCATAAATGAAGAGTACAAGTCTATGCAAGACAATAAGGTTTGGGAACTTGTCCCATTGCTAGAAGGTACAAAACCAATTGGTTGTAAATGGATATTTAAAATCAAGCGGGATGCAAATGGTAATGTGGAGAGGTACTATAAGGCACGTCTTGTAGCTAAAGGTTATACTCAAAAGGAAGGCATTGATTATACAGAGACTTTCTCTTCAGTTTCATCGAAAGACTCTCTTAGAACTATCATGGTGCTTGTTGCTCACATTGATCTTGAGTTACATCAGATGGATGTTAAGACTGTGTTTCTCAATGGAGACATTGATGAAATGAACTATATGGTGTAACCAGAAAACTTTGTGTCAGGAAATCCAAAGAATATGATTTGTAAATTAAGAAAATCCATTTATGGACTCAAGCAAGCTCCTCGTCAATGGTATCATAAGTTTCAACAAATAATTATCTCATTCGGTTTTGAGATAAATATTGTTGATAACTGTGTATATCACAAGTTCAGTGGGAGTAAGTATATTTTTTTGGTTCTGTATGTCGATGACATATTGCTTGTCACTAATATTATAGGCATGTTGCACGAAACCAAGAGATTTCTATCAAAGAATTTTAAAATGAAAAATCTTGGGGACGCCTCTTTTATATTAGGGATCCAGATACATCGAGATCGTTCTCGTGGTATACTTAGATTATCACAAAAGAGCTATATCGATAAAGTACTCAAAAGGTTTAACATGTAAGATTGCAGACCAGGTGATACCCCTATTGCTAAAGGAGACAAGTTTAGTATAAATCAGTGCCCTAAAGGTAATCTTGAAATTCAGGAAATGCAAAGGATTCCTTATGCTTCGGCTGTAGGAAGTCTAATGTATGCTCAGGTATGCACGCGTCCAGATATTACGTACATTGTTAGGATGTTAGGCAGATACTTAAGCAACCCTGGTATAGATCATTGGATAGCAGTCAAAAGGGTTATAAGGTATCTTCAGAAAACAAAAGATTATATGCTCACATATAGAAAATCAGAACAATTGGAGGTCATTGGGTATTCTGATTCTGATTTTGCTGGATGTCAAGATAACAGAAAGTCTACATCAGGCTACATTTATATGTTAGCAGGAGGAGCTATATCATAGAAAAGTGTTAAACAGACACTCGTAGCTTCCTCCACTATGGTAACAGAGTTTGTAGCTTGCTATGAGGCATCAAATCATGGAATATGGTTGCGAAGTTTTATCATTGGACTGCGCATTTTGAAAAATATTAAAAGACCACTAAGGTTATTTTATAACAATAAATCTACAGTTATGTATTCCAATAACAACAGGAGCTCAACTAAGTGAAAACATGTTGATATTAAGTTACTGGTTGTGAAAGAAAGGGTACAGAGTAAACAGATATCCATAGAGCACATTGGAACAAACTCTATCATAGCAGATCCTCTTACTAAAGGATTATCACCCAAGGTCTTTCATGAGCACACTGCTCATATGAGTGTGGTGTTATTCGAGGATATCATGATTTAGTGAGAGTTTGTGGTTTTTTTGGTGTTTTGTGTTTGGTTGTATTGTTTGATCAGAATAAAGTATTTAGTTAAGACACTATGTTTCATTATGTTTGGTTTTGACCTCACTAAAGTTTAAAGTAGGACCGGTTAAAAATAGATATGTACTGATCACATTGCATGTAATTTTTATGTTGCACATCCATGATTGATCTATGTCGTTTGATATCACATTGCATGTAATTTTTATGTTGCACATCCATGATTGATCTATGTCGTTTGATTGTATTGGTATATGTGACCATTGATGGGTCATTGATCTATGTCGTTTGATTGTATTGGTATATGTGACCATTGATGGGTTTAGTCACGATAAATGTGACAAATACCGTTTTGATCCTATATTGATATTGTCAATGGACGAGATTGTTTCAAAAATACCCTTATTTGTGATAGCAAATTCCGAGCTCATAAGGTTGCACACGTTTTAATGAAACATATAGTGCCCAAGTGGGAGATTGTTGGATTAAATCTAATTATGGACATATATGTTACTTTAGTGTATAATGCTATCCTTAAGGTTAACCCGCATAAAGTGATCAATAAATTTGGGTTAATGGGTATTTAAATAGATCATGAGCTAATTGTGTAGATACCGGACTGCAATTCTAATTTTATGAGGGGCTAAATTAGAAAATTACAAATCTATATAAAAAGGTTATAGTCCCTAATCTAAAGGTTACGTTCTCTATTCTCTAATCCCCATCTAAAGAGATATTCAAGAGAAACCTTTCAAATTAGAAGATCAACCCTATTAAGATCCGTGCTAAAATCAATATGGATTCAGATATTGTTTCCGCTCATTGTTGTGTTTATTCTCTTTGAATTAATCATGGTTTTATGGATTAGATCTCAGATATAAGATCTAACAACAAGTACATTAATGTACCTCTTTGCATGAAATGGAAGTTAATTAACTAACATGGGTAACATGGCACATTGCCGACTTAATTGACCATAAAAGACAATTAACCTTAAACCCCACAATTAATGATCTTCCTAATTACTCTCATCTCATGCATGCTTTTCCTCAATCAGAGGCTTCTCTTAAAGTATAATTAATATTTCAAACTAGTGCTTAAACCATCGTAAGCCACGATGTCATTGAGTATAAATTCTCAACATAAACACTATAAATACACCCTGAAACTCCCCTAGAACTCCAAAACTTCTCAACACCAAATCCCATGGCCAACACAATGAACTTCCTCTTGACAGCATTGGCTTTCATCTCTTTGTCCAACCTAGCCATGGGCTCATTCAACATCATGGACTTTGGAGCAAAGCCCAACGGCCGAACCGATTCGGGCCAGGCTTTTCTGGCAGCATGGGCCAAGGCCTGTCGATCTAGGAGGCCCGCCTCCATTTATGTTCCGGCAGGCCGGTTTCTTTTGGGCCAAGCAACGTTTGAAGGCCCATGTAGGAATAGCAGGGTTAGCATTTTCATTGATGGGACTATTGTTGCCCCAAATGGTTATAGTTCACTGCTCAAGTGGATGCATTTTGTGAATGTTAATGGTTTGGAGATTATTGGAGGGACTCTTGATGGAAGAGGGAGGGCACTTTGGTCGTGTAAGTTGGCCGGCCGGAGATGTCCTATTGGTGCAACGGTTAGTTATGATGTCAAGTCCTTTATTGATTTTTGTTTCCTTGTTTTAATACTTGTGTCATATATAGATTTGAGCAATGCAAAACTTTTTTATTATTTTAATCCTTAGGAGGCCTATTTATTAAAACAAATAACTTTTACGTTTCTTCAAGGGTAAAAGAGTCAAAATTTCACTTACATATTTATGCACAACAATAGAATTGTAGGAGGTCTGTCTGCAAAAAAAAAATTAACCCTTATATTTTATAAATACTTGATCCGTAAGATACCCTTCTGTTTTTAAAAACTCCAAAAATGAGCTAAATTAAAGATAGATGGATCAAACTAATTTGTATCATGAGCTTTAGCAAATTTTAATCTTGTAGAAAAATGAGCTAAAAAAAAAAGATGGATCAAACTAACTTGCATCATGAGCTTTAGCAAATTTTAATCTTGTATATCATTCATATTAACCATTTTCTCCTTAATTCTTTAATCATGCAGTCACTCATCATCGCCAAATCAAAAAATGTATTGATCAGTGGACTAACCTCCATAAACCCGGAGCTCATACACATATCCATACAATACAGTCACGGCGTTACGTTGCAAAAGGTGAAGATAAGTGCGCCCAACAATAGCCCCAACACCGACGGTGTCCACGTTCAGAACTCCGTTGGTGTCACCGTTACCGGATCTACCATAAGGACTGGCGACGACTGTGTCTCTATGAAGGCGGGCGTTGAGAATGTCCTGATCGAGCGTGTCTACTGTGGTCCTGGACATGGCATTAGGTGAGAGACAATAAACCGCTCTATTTCGGTCAGAATCATTCTTATATATATATCATCATTTTGCCTTCTAAACTATGGATTCGGATCCTCTCTGCTATCAAGATAGTAGTGGAGGGACCGCTACATAATCGCAATCATTGATTATCTAATCTAATGGGTGGTTGTGATTTTTTCCTTTGAGTGCGAATTAGGAATGAGTGCAATACACAGAGGTGTGGTGAGTGTTATATATATTTAGATTGTATCATAACCGCCCACTAGATAATCGACGGTTAGGATTAAAAGTAGTAGTCTCTCCGTTACTTTTTTTTTTATAGTGGTGAGGATCCAAATTCCTAAATTATAGTCAACCGTTAAAGATCGGATCTATGACCTTAATGATATGTCAAAGGGATAATGGGATCTAAGTTTTGATTAGTATTTTGTGCAAACATTAATGTTAAGGACAAGGTCTAGTGGGTACTTTCTCTGTAAATTACCGTACACACGAATCTCTTTCCCTCTCCGTATAAAAAATAGTCTTTTATTCGTATGCTGTTAAACTTCTGAAACGTAGTGAGAACGTAAGAATGTAGTGCAAAATTAAGGATGACTAAAGTTTGAAGGGTAAAATAGTAATTATTATGATCCGAAAAGAACATATGCAAAAATCCTTTTCTTTAAATTTTTTTTCTTATATATATATATAGAAGATAAAGTATGGTCATCCTGTTCACTAAATTTTTTTATTATTAATGGTTTTTGCAGCATTGGGAGCTTAGGAAATGGGCTACATGAAGAGGGAGTGCAAAATATCACGGTGAAATCAGTGGTGTTTAGGAGAACTCAGAATGGACTACGGATCAAAACATGGGGAAGGCCCACTAGCGGATTTGTGAAGGGTGTGAAATTTCACCACGTCGTCATGAATAATGTCCAGAATCCAATCATTATTGATCAAAATTATTGCCCTGGCAACGTAAATTGCCCTCACAAGGTAAAATTCATAAAGGTTTCTTTGCAGCATCCAATATTAATAACAAAATTGGATATATATTGTGTAATCCAAAATATAATAAAAAAGAGCTTTTACTTGTATACTGCGCATACCTATGCAGTTTACAGAGTTGCCCCCATAAATCTGATTTTTGAAAAGTAAAAATTGGGCGAGATGCTCTGTTCAAAAGCTTCCATCGAGATAAAATTTCAGTGATTTTTTCCAAAAGATATATAATTAAGTTTATTCTTAATTAGCATTAGGGGATCAGTAGACTTTATTGTCACCCTTCACAAACTTATTTCTGTATCCACAAATCTAAATATTTGCTTATCTATATAGACATTCTTTAATATTGAGTTAAAATATCATTCTCACTTGACATGGTCAAATTTCAAAACGAGAAAGAGCTATAATTCCAAAAATACCCCCGACAAGAACAGAAGCTCCTTTTCCCCCGTATACTACCAACTCTATCCTACTGCACATGCGAATATGTAGATTTGGAGGGTAAATTTGTAAGTATGATTGATTTAGGTCATACTGATCATAATCCCAGAGCTCTTTGCATATCCTTTATCTGAAGTTAATTTATTTATTTTTAGTTTCATCTAAATTTGCACGCACCATATATAATTCTAGTCTCACAATAACATGTTTCTGTCACTGGTCAGAGTTCGGGCATTAAGATCAGTGGGGTGTCATTCCACGACATCAAGGGATCATCGGCAACCAAAGTGGCGGTGAAGCTCGATTGCAGCCCTAAAAACCCTTGTGTTGGTGTGGGATTGAGGGACATAAGGCTCACGTACGGGAAGAATGAGGCTCAGTCTTATTGTAGGAATGCAAGAGGGAGATCCTCTAGGGTTATAAGCCCACCAAGTTGCCTCTAATTTTGCAATTTAATCTGAGTTCTCTTTTATGTGAATTCAATAGACCGTGGTTTATCTCCGGTTGGCTTGGCCTTGTATTGTTCAAGGATTGAAGTGACATAGAGAGAGAGGATGAGCCCGAGTCTTGTGTGTGCTTCTAGGGTTTGCTTTTGTGAGTCCTGTATTGTTTTTAAGTTTTTTTTTTGGGTTGTTGTGATGTTTTAAGAATTGTAAAATGTTAAAATATTTGCTCCAATCACTAGTAGAAAAACGAGCAATCTAGACGGAAATTTTCGTCTAGATTGCTCCATTTCCCGTCTAGATTGGTTCACCTAGACGGAATCCCGTCTAGTTTGCTCCGTCTAGAATATTTCCGTCTATATTGGGGCAAACTAGACGGAATTCCGTCTAGTTTGCCAACCTAGACGGAAAACAACCTAGACGGAAGTATAGACGGATTTCTTACTTCCGTCTAGGTTGTTTTCCGTCTAGGTTGGCAAACTAGACGGAATTCCGTCTAGTTTGCCCCAATATAGACGGAAATATTCTAGACGGAGCAAACTAGACGGGATTTGCAAAATCTACGTTGCACGCTATATAATATAACATGTTCATAATATTGCACAACAACAAATCATATTCATATCCAACACACAATCTATCTAATTATATTTCAATATCAAATATAATTATATTCAAAAATTACATTCACCAAAATACTAGAAAGATACATAAATTTTTTACATAGATTATAAAGAATACAATTGTTTACATAACTTGATGAACTTTGCATAATTTATAGAATCCAATTGCATTTATTCCTCCAAATTGTTGAAGCATCATGTTTCTTCCTCCTTGATCCTACATTATACAAAATTCAACATCAATTAGTCCATGCCATGAAATACACTTAGAAAGCATTAACTTTGCAGAAGAACTAATAGGGAAATCAAAATATAACCCAAGGCTATATCAAGAGCATGCATTATTGATGCACAATGAGATGTCATTACCTATCCATGCTTAATCAAATTACAGAACTGCAATTCTTACGTCAAATATAGGCCCAATATGACTAATAAACATACAAATTGGTGTAAAATGGAAGTTTTCAAATGAGAAAAAGCAAGACCAAGAAAAATTAGAATGAAAGAGATTAGTACCCAATTCCTTTGTTTCCTCCAGTGACGAAAGCAGTTGTTCCACAAAGTGAGCAACTCTTCTTGTTTTCACACACCTTGTTCCCTCCATGCACATCTCCTATTTCCTTCAGTAATATCTGAAGCTGCTTCAAAGTAATTTTTTTTATTCGGTGATATCTGAAGCCACTTCAAAGTAATTTTAAGCCAAGTCTACTAATTAATCATAATTCAAGAAATATTATATGTCATATAAAATCAAAGTATCCATACAAAGCGTAAAACTACAGCCCCAGTGAGAAAGGTTAGGACAAATACCTGAGCATTAATCCCCTGCTCATTCACATATATGCGACCATGTATATCACGCTCCTGACAAAAGTTAGAGGATTCGTTAACAAATCATAATGAATCCAGTATCATGGCAAAGAAGCAAAAAGGACCCTAATTTTGCTACATAAGGTAACGAATGAACTCTCGATATCCTCCAAAGACGAGAAATAGAGAATTTGGCAAGGTGATTATAAATAGACACAATATACAAAACACTTATTAACCACGATACAGTTCCGAAATCCGACTACCATGTTCTTAATAAGCTTAATACAATATCCTACAATTTTAGCTAATTGTGCCATGAATGCTTAAGTAACATCTTACAATCTTGAGCCAATTATCTCATGAATGTTTAAGAAACATCAAACAAGCGCCTTTCATATTGCTTCAATACCACCATGCCAACTAACTAGTTCTCCGTCGTCTTAAGTTACTTATAGTTCTGCCTTTTTTATATAAATTATCATATTTACATAAAAGAAGAAAGAATGAAATAACATAATAAAACTCTTAGCACTTTCTCTAACTTAGAATTTTCACACATTTGCTAATCTCAATAACATACATGCCCTCGTCACTTCAGTTATCCTTTTGAACTCCTCATTCACCTCCAACTCTTGTTACTTGGCAATATCATATTAAGGTTCTCCAACTATTTCTTTTCAATGCCCCTGTCGGCTCTCTGTGAAATATTCGTTTGTCCATTGAAAATTCATGATGGGTGCATTAAAAAAATCTGACTTTTCGGAAATTTTCATTTCAATACACAAGCATGGGTAAATACAGTACTAATAAATTTGCCCACTCCACAGAATAAATTTTTTTGGAAATTAGGGTTGAAAAAAGACTTACCTCAAGAAAAGCTTGATGTTTTGAGACCACGGCTTCTGGAGAATTCCTCCAGCTCTTCAATAGCTTCTCCTTCAACTCGATGTACTCGAGGACAGCATTCTATTATCCTACTTCGTCTCTTCTCCCACTTTAAGGACAGAACCAAAGAGAAGTTTTTAGGGGCAAAAAAGGCACCTTTTTTATTTTGGCGGTGGATGCTGATAGGTTGATCTCTGAACGGGACTGCTGGGGGTGATCGATGATGTGGCGTAGTGGAGGACGGTGGATGTGAGGCCATCGGAGTTGGGTCCGGTCACCGCTGGTAAGAACGAGGATAGGAGGGAGCGGTCGCCGCCTCGGAGGAAGGCGGAGATGAGGAGGGAGCCGGCAATGAGGGTGTCGGAGGC